CTTCCCCTTCCCCTTCCCCTTCTCCTTCTCCTTCTCCTTCTCCTTCTCCTTCTCCTTCTCCTTCTCCTTCTCCTTCTTCTTCTTCTGTAAAGGCCTACAGGGTCTCACTGTGTAGATTGGACTCATAGTGATCTGCCTGTGTTCAGCCTCCCAGAGAGCTGCGATTACAGGCGTGCACCACCATGCCCAGTTTCAGTTGCCATCTCAGTGTGTCCCGGGGGCAGGGTCAGCATGGCAGGCTGGGGATCAAACTCTGACCCCTGCGTTTGCCTAAGCAGGTGCTGTAATCTGCTGAGCTATCTGACCGGCCCTTATGAAATATTTTAGAGATAGAAAACTATTGAATTAGGGCTTGAAATTTCAATCCACCAGTATTTTAGTTTACCTAGGAAGTTTTCCCTAGGACCTAATTTAAATCTCTTGGTAACTCTAGAGCAGTTCAATACTGTACTACCCAGATGGGTCTTATAGTATGGTAAAAGATAAATCTGAATTCATGGGGACCTGCCAATTCATTCAGCTCTTTAAGTGATTGCTTAAACAAAGCAGTCAGGCTCAGGATGCTGTGGTTCGATCCCCAGATCCTCAAGCCTTGCCAGATATGCTCTGAAGGCATCCTAAGCCAGCCCCCCCCCCCAAAAAAAAAAAATTTCTTCTGAATTCATGAAAGAAATATTTAGGTCACCCATTCCAAATAGATCTGCACTTTTTTCTTCAATCTTTAAAATGTAGATGATCTTCATGCATTATTTGGAGTTCTGATCAGAGCTGATAAGTTTATTGCTAGGTAGAAAAGTATTTTTAAGAATTGTTTCATGACTTTTAAAAATAATTTTATTGAGAAACAAATAGCAATGAGACAGTTTCAAAACCAATTAGGACAGTTTCAGTAATTAATACATTACACATTGTTGTCTTTGTAGTGGTTATTTTATTTATTTATTTTTGGATGGAACCGGGGATTGAACTCAGGCCCTTGCGCTTGCCAGGGAAGTGCTTATTCCACTGAGCCATCTCCCCGGCCCTCCTAACTATTTTATATATACAGATACAAAATGGTCCTTTATTTGTATGTCCTTTTTTGGTTTAGTTTTGTCAGTGACGGATATTCCATTGCCATTTAAATATTATAGGTGTATGAATTCAGCAAAATAATCCAGTATAGTCCAGTAGTCCATAATAGCAGTGGGTTATCCGTAGGACTGGCAATGTCAGAAGTTGTTGACTTGAACCTTTTACAGCTCAGCATATTAATATAGCTTTACATTTTATACCTTGTTTTTATACTTTGCTGCTGGATGGTTAAGACCAAGAAAAAGCAAGACCTATATAACAGGAAATGTAACTTTTGTATCTGACAAGGTCAATCAAATCCCCTCAGAATATAGGAGAACCTGTACTGTAAAATCCTATAACTCAGTTGTGTCCTAAATTCTCTGATCAAGGAGATTATGGGCCACAGAGGAAAGTGATCAACAATGTAGAGTGTGCTTAAGGAGAATCACATGGAGAGAAAACATTCTCTCAGGCTTTCACAGAGAGCAAATTGGTCAAACAGTGGCCATGACTCATCCACATGGCTGACACTGACAAACTGCAGTACAGGGTTTCATGGTAAATCCTGCTTCATAACTGCGACCAGGAATCGAACACAGCACCTTGCTACTTGCCAGGCAGGTGCCGTACACTGAACTATATTCCCAGCCCTACACTGATTACTATTAACAAAGAGGTAGACTTTATGTCTTCAAATTGAAATACAGTTATCCTCATATCTTGATGGGCATGTAAAACAGTACAGCTACTTAGAAAATTCTGTCAGTTTCCTCCATTAAATTTAAAATGACTGTCATCTGAGCCAGCAGTTCTACTCCTAAGTATGTACTCAAGAGGATTAAAAATACATGTCCACACAAAAACTTTTATACAGATGTTCCTAATAGTACTCTTTCTAGTAGTAAAAAAGAAAAAAATTGCAAAAAAATTGAGATTTCCATTAATTAATGAATTGGTGAATAAAATGTAACATATCCAAACAGTAGAATATTATTTGACAGTGTGCCTTGAAACATTATAGTAAGTGAAATAAAGTGGTTACCAAAGCCCGTATTGTATGGGTGCATTCATGTAAAATACCCAGAATAGGCACAAGAAGTAGATCGGTGGTTGCCAGGGACTGGTATAATTGGAAAATGAAGAATGAAGAATGATCACTAATGGGCAAAAGGTGTCTTTTTTTTTTTTTTGAGTGAAAAAGGTATTGTGAAATTATATTATCATTATGGTTGAGCAATTTTGTGAATAATCTGAGCCCACTGACTTAAGTATTCTAAAAGATGATTTTTATGGTTTGAGAATTGTAGTTCTATGAAACTATAAAATTAAACACAATTGTGTATGATAGAAAATAGTTCATTTTATTTTATTTCTTAAATTAAAATATTCCAAATTAAATTTACTCTTATGTTAGAGGAACAATTCTTTTCCTGATGAGAATAATGTTGCAAGACTTCAGGAGGAACTCATCGCTGTGAAATTGAGAGAAGCAGAGGCCATTATGGGTTTGAAAGAACTTAGACAGCAAGTCAAAGATTTGGAAGAACACTGGCAGGTATGTTAATATATTTTATGTGTTTGTTAAAAAAGAAACTAGAGCCAGGGAGATGGCTCAGTAGAATAAGCGCTTGCCTGTCAAGCACAGGGACCTGAGTTCAATCCCCAGTACCGCAAAAAAAAAAAAAAAAAAGAAAAAAAAGAAAAAAGAAAAAGAAACTAAAACACAAATGTGCAACTGGTATTACTTTAAAGTAACTGATGAGTTTAATGCTTCATGTCAAAATTGGAGAACATTTATGACTTGAAAATACATTTAAACTTTTTCTCTTAAGTCTTTTGTGTGTGTGTGTGTGTGTGTGTGTGTGTGTGTGTGTGTGGAACCGGGGATTGAACTCAGGCCCTTGTGCTTGCCAGGCAAGCACTTACTCTACTGAGCTATCTCCCTGGCCCCTCTTCTTAAGTCTTACAATGAAGTGAAAATTAAAATAAAAATTAGGTCAAATGAAAGTAGTTATTTTGCAAAATAAATAACATTTAGCTAATTAAATGCCTACAAGTTCATCTACATAAGAGGGAAACTTGACAAGGAACAAAATACAATGATCTATGAGATAAAAGTGAAGCTGGGCGTAGTGTTACATATCTGAGAGGCTGAAGCAGAAGGATCACAACTTTGAGCCCAGCGTGGGTGACCTAGTGACTCATTGGGACCCTTTTTCAGAAAAGGGGACAAAGGGGGCTGAGAATGTAGCTCATTGTGAAGGCCCTGGTTGAATTCTTAGTACTGCCACCAAAAATAATTAAAAAAAAAAAAAAAAAAGTCAGAAGAGGGGGGCCTGCAGGTTAGCTCAGTTGTTTAAGTACCTGCTTATGCAAACTCAGGCTCAGGATGTGGTTCGATCCCCAGATCCTCATGCCTTACCAAACCTGCATTAAGGCATCCTGAGGCAGCCAAAAAACAAAGGTCAGAAGAGAGCAATAATGAGCTACATAGTTTGAGAATAGTGATCTTGGTTTGAGTGGGTAGGAAGGTAGGAGAGAACATCTAGAAAAGACCGAAATGGGCCTTAATATTGCCAGTGCTTTTTAAAATACATTTTTGCAAAAGGTTCAGGCTATAATAAACTGGAAATTAAATGAAACTGGTCCTTGAAAACCCCTAGCTTCTAATATTGCTTCCTTAATGCATGGCCTCATTTTTTTCCTTTTCTTGAGATTTCATTGACCATAATGTGAAAAATCTCTCATTAAAGAATCAGGATGAAAATTGTATTACTTTTGAATTACTTTTGATATAGATTAAATTCTTAACTGTAAATTACATTTGAGTTTATATTGTTGATCTTCCACTCAGTAGTTGTGCAATTCCTCTGAAGTTACTTAATCATAACATCCAGTTTTTTGGGTTTTTTTTTTTTTTTTTTTTTTTTGTATTTAGTATAGGGTCTACAGGGTCTCACTGTACAGTTTGGACTTGTAGTGATCCTCTTATTTTCAGCCTCCTAAGTGCTGAGATTATAGGCACGCACCACCATATTTGCCATCTCAGCACGCCCCAAGGGTGGGGATAACATCTAGTTTTTTACCTATAAAATGAAGATAGTAATTCCTAACTTTTAAGATTTACTGGGTGAGTTTCTTTCTTTCTTTTTTTTTTTTTAATAATTTTATTGAGAAATAGCAATGAGACAGTTTCAAACAATTACTGGCACAGTTTCAATAATTGATACATTGCATATTATTTTAGTGGTTATTCATTGTACAAGATGCAGACATGATATCCTGTCCACAAACACTATTAGAACAAATCTTTCTATTCATTGAATTAAGAGAATGCAGTTATATATCTGTCATATTTTGAATATACAGATACAAAATGGTCATTCATTTGTACCCTACTGGGGGATTTTCTGGGGAAGTGCTTGATATAGGGTCCATGCTGAAAGACATGGTCTATAAGACTAACTCTTAATACTGAGAGTATTAATGGCAATATTTTTTATGCTTTAGCGCCACTTATCTCGTACTAGTGGAAGATGGAAAGACCCTCCTAAGAAAAATGCTGTGAATGAGTTACAAGATGAACTCATGACCATTCGACTTAAAGAAGCTGAAACACAGGCAGAAATTAGAGAAATAAAACAAAGAATGATGGAAATGGAAACACAGGTATGATGAGAAAGCCTAGTAGGTGTAAAAGTATCAGCAGATCAGAGTTAGTGGATAAGATTATATCATTCCTAGAATAAAGGAAGATGAAGAAGATATGAAACTTTGTAGACAGCAGTTTTGTAGCCCAAATGAAGAGGGCTACAAGTTGTTTGTTTTGATTTCACAGATTTACTTTCTGCTTTGGCCTGTTCAACAGAATTTACACAAACAATTGTATTAAGCAGATGTATTTGTTTATTAGGTAAAACTCATAGAATTGTCTTGTTACACAATTTGAGAGGGAACTTACTTGTAGAACAAAATTTTGCAACCTCAGTACTTAACATTTTGGACTAAAAAACTCATTTCGTGAAGCTGACCTATGCACTGGAGGATGTTTAGAAACATTCCTAACCTTTACCCATCAGATGCTGGTAAATTCTCTTTCCTCCTAGGACATGATGACCAAAACTGTCTCCATACCTTTCCATATATCTCAAAGGGGGCAGAATTGCTTCTATTTGAGAACTGCAGATGTGGAATATAAAGTGAATGGTGCTTCATAAAGTTGTGTGATGGGATGAACCTTTTCTCAAGTCTCCCGTTCTCTAAAAAATCCTGTCTTAAATGTACCTAATTAAGATTTTCAAAAACCTTTTCACAAAAGCCATTTTTATTGTAAAAGCACAACTTTCATGTGATGCATGGATCACTTTCTACAAATAGCTGTCTCTTACTATTCATGAGAACTGCAAGATCCTCACAGATGCCTAAGTCTTTTAATATTAACCTTTGTGTATTCTCCCATATATTTAAAATAATCTCTGGAATACTTACACCACCTAATATAATACAAATATTATGTACATAGTTGTTATACTTGTTTAGATAGTAATAGCAACAAAAATGTATCTACATGTTCAGAACAGATGTCATTTTTACAAAAATGGTTCTGATCATTGGTTGAATGTATGGAAGTGGAGCCCATGGATACAGATACTGCCTGTGCTGAATGTTTTCAAAATATTCATCAGTCAGTAGGGGGCATAGTTAATTCATGTGTCATTCTGAACTCCTTTATGCAAAGTAATCATCCCATTTCAAACATGATTGCATGATTTCTTTAGAATAAATGTATCTTGTTTTACATTGTTCAGTTATTCTATTTTTCCGTATAATTAAAAATGACCTTGAAAAGGAAATGTAAGCTTTGAAGAGTAAAATTCTAGGTTTTATAATAGAAAATTTTTATTTTTACAATCAGAATTTATATCAGTACAAATAATAACATAAACACTACTTTAGGGCAGTGTTATGGTTCTGTCTCGTGGTAAATATACATGAATAAATCAAATTGAACAAACACATGAAACACAAAAACATTATCCAGGTCACTAAAAGACTTGAACTTCAGAAAGTTTATTATGATTCACAAGTCTGGTAAATGGAAAGTTAGAGAGAAATTGGTATCAGTAAAAGGAGGAAAAATAGTTCCAATAAGGTGGGAAAAGACTGTCTATAAAATTTGTATTTTAAGCAAGGTCAGACTAGGAAGTGTGGTTTTGAATAGAATTCATTGAAGGGACGTGTGGAGAGGTATAAGACACTGGCTCCTAAATGCCAACACTTGGACTAGTGACAAATCATACAGTTTTTCTCATTAAAAAATAAGAAAAATATAGTATAATGGTGGTGGCATATATTCATTTAAAAATATGTTTAACACTCATGTATCTACTGTTCAGACTGACTTCCCCTTTATATCTGTCACTTTTTATTCTTTCATTAAATTTTTAAACATTATATTTTTTGATCAGCCCTTGTATGTTTCAAAATTCAATCTAACAGTTTTTTTTAAAACTCTGAACATACCAAAAACTTCCAAATTGTATGTACCTTTGAAGTAGGCGAAGTTTATGTGTGAACAGCATCTTAATAAAACTATGATAATGTCTTTTTTTACAGCTTCTTTTAGTCCATGATTTATGATTCTATTTGGATTAATATCTGTCGCCTTGCTCTTTATTGGGCACTTATTATGGATTATGGTTTTATTTATCTTCAAAACTGATTTAATTTAATTTAATTTAATTTATTTATTTAATTTCTGGCAAAACCAGGGATTAAACTCAGGCCCTTACACTTGCTAGGGAAGCGCTTATTCTACTGAGCCAACTCCCCGGCCCTGGATTTTATTTTTTTATGCTTCTTTTGAAAAATTTTTTAGTGATCGCTCTAGGTCAGAAGTGTTGAACCTGTGCATATGTTGTTTTCCTTTTAAGATAAAATGTTTCTTCAAAGTACTGTCATTTTTATTGCATAGATCTTTTACTTCCTTTGTTAGATTGATTCCTAAGTAGTTTGTTTGTGCATGGCTATGTCTGGCAATTTGAGCAACTAATTTGAAGATAACAATATTCAATATAACAACCATTGTTAATTTCTGAGCATCTAGTTTTGAAATTCTGCACCATTTTTATTGTGTTTTATGTTTTTTATTCTCTTTAAAAAGATAAAAGATGTTAATACATGAGGGTCTTTTTTCTAAACTAAAACCTTGCTATTCGGATTTAATTGCAGTGTTGGCACTTTGAGATAAATGAGTTTTGGGTTGCAGTTTGGACACTTGTCTCTAAAAGGCTTGTCAACACTGCTCCAGGCTTTACAATATATATCTTTAATAAGAGGTTTCTTTCAAATAGATTTTTAATTATAACTAAAAAATTCTAGGTTTCTTGTGTAATATAAAGTCCTTAGAACAGTATATTTTCAATTCTGCCCCTTCTTTGTGCTGTTTTTATGCATTTTATACTGTATATAAACCTTTTGTCTTTTAGTTATTTTTCATAGAAACTGATTTTTTTTTCATGAAATTAATTTTCCCTTATTCTATTTCAGCATTCATTATTTTGCGTACATCCATGTTTCTTCCTTCTGATTAAAGAACTTTGTACAATGTTTCTTATAGTACTGATCTTCTGGGAGTAGATTCTCTTTGTATTTGTTTCTTTGGGAAAATGTTTATTTCTCTGAAGAGATATTTGTAGGGTATTAAAAGCTGGATTAATGGATTTTATTTATTTTGAACACTGGAAATCTAGTACCACCATGCAAGTCAAAACTGTTGTAAGGGGCCAGCCAGATAGCTCAGTGGATTAAAGCCCCTGCTTAGGCAGACACAATGACCAGGGTTTGATCCCAGGTGTGTCATGCTGGTTTTGCCCCAATTGCACAGTGAGATGGCCCTTGAGACTGGGCGTGTTGGCACATGCCTGTAATCCCAGCTCTTGGGAGGCTGAAAACAGGAGGATCACTACAAGTTTGATCTGTGAAACCCTGTAAACCTTATACTAAATATATTTTTAAAAAAGCCCAACAACTCTGTTGTATTTGTTGTTGTTGTTCCTCTGCATGTAATGTATTTTCCCCTCTGGTTGGCTTTAACATATTCTGTCCTTTATTTTTAGCAGTTTGAATATGATATACTTGGATATGTATTTTGCTGTTTTCTTCTGTAAGTTTCCTGGATTTTGGAAAGTTCCTGGTCATTATGTCTTGAAGTATTTCTTCTGCCTTTACACTGTTCCTCTGAATTCTAAATGTTGAGTTATTTCATGTTGTCTAACAATTCCTGTTCTCTTCTGTTCTGTTTGGGAACAACCCCAGTACTTCACACATGCTACACAGATGGTCTTCATGTTGTCTACATGTGTTGGATGCTCTATTCCCTCCCTCATACATATTGACATTATTTTTCTTTCTGTGTTTTCAGCTTCTATTAATTGAAAAATTTCTACTGACATAGTAAGTCCACTAATTCTTTTGTTTACTTTGTTGAAGTATCCAACAAACCACTGAAAGACATTCTTTATAGTTGTCATTGGTTTTGAGAATCTTATGGATCTCATTTTTCTGCTGATATTATCTATGGTTCTTTTTCACCTTTCCCTAGAGCCTCTGATGTATTAATTGTGTTTGTTTTAAATTCGCTGTCAGATAATGTCAATACCTGAATCATATGAAGCTGGTCCTGTTGATTGTTAAATCTCTAGGTAGTGTTTTGTGGTATTTGTTTCTCTGTTTACCTTCTCTGTTTTGTAAATTTTTGATGAGAGCTGGATATTTTGTATAGGATAATAGTCTAAGGCACATAGATTTTATGTGTAGAAATGGGTGCACTTGTCCTGCCAGGCTTGTCATATATGAGATTTGAGTTAATATGTTCAATATGGACTGAGTTTGAGGTGTATTGTTTCTGTGGTTGTCTACTGTGCACTCTAAGTTGCAAATTCCTTTGGCAGTAAGTTTTTTTTTTGTACTGAGAATAGAGCTCAGAATGTTGTGCTTGCCAGGCAGGCGCTTATGCTGCTGAGCTACATCCCTAGATTCTTTGGCAATAACTTACATTAAAGCATGGGCTGGCTTGCCAGTGGACTTTTCTGTGAGTCTTTAGATCTTTCCTGTGCACAATACCTTGTGAAGTGGGTCATCCTCCATCAGTGTTCCTGTTACTTGTACAGAAAGTTGAAAGAACAAGGATGTTACTTATTATTTTAATAAAACTTAATTGTTAGAGCTGAATTATGTTTTTCTATCTGGGATATTTGGCCTTTTAATGCTCCTGTCCATCTTCACCTATAGTTCTAGACCTAAATACAGTCTTGCTGCTTTCTCTAGATGCAGCGGTTTTCACCAGTGTCTCAAGGAGAGCAGTGTTTATTAGCCCTCTCCCACAAAGATTAAAGCATTAATTTCATAGAGGTAAAAGGCAAGATTAAATGCCTCTTCCTCAAGTCTATACCATAAATGTATCTTTTAACACTCTCACTAGGCTTTTCTTGTGTGTAGTTATAGAGGTATGTGATGAAAAGTACGTAAAAGTTGTAAACTTGTTTAGATCTGCTTTTTCTAGGGCTTCATGTTCTCTATGTCGTCCAATACGTGGCCTCTATCAATTCCTTATTTATTCTAGCTGAATTTTCCTAACTGAGAAAGTGCTTAGGCTGTTCATGTGGTGT